TCCCTCTTCCCTTTGTATCAGAATTGGAAACATTCTGCTTTTGAAAGTTTTTTCATCTAACTTCAGTCTGTTAGGCCTGAATGTGGAGTTTGTATTTTCCCTAGTAACCAGGATTCTGTATCACTGTGGTTTAGAATCCTGGTTACTGAGAAATAGACTTCAGTTTGTTTGGGAGCATCACAACAAACTGAAGCTGGTTGAAGACTTCTAGTCATAAACAGGGGTCATTTCGTAGAAAAAGAGGTGCAGGAGCTCATTAGCATAACCTAGTAGCATAACTTATTTGCATATGCCACACCCTCTGACGTCACCAGAAGTGTGTCAGAAGGCAACACCCACCGCTCAGGCTCCACTGGACTGTTTTGGATTGCTAGCTATTGGGGGGGGGAAACAGATCTGTCCTCGCAGAGGAGGGAGAGCTTGTACCTGAATAAAACTTGGTCTTAAAGGTGCCACTGGAATGTTTTGGACCGGGGGGGCCGGGGGGAGCTCTGCAACTTACCTAGCTGCTTCTTGCTCTGATTGAGGGCTGCTGGGAGCAGGGGGTGGGGCTTGTTGCATGTGCCCGCCCCCTGGGCTCTTTACTGCCAGAGCTCCGCTCCTGTGCACTCCTGCAGGAAATGACCCCTGGTCATGAACAAACTGTAAGTTAGTTCCAGGTGGTCAACCATGTTGGTCTGAAGCAGTAGAACAAGGTATGAGCATTCATGCCCATATTCACTTTTTCAAATACAAACTTTTTCAAATAAGTTCAAACTTATAGACATATTTTGACATATTGATTGCTTTGCTGTCCTTTCCCCCTTAATTAAAACAGAACAACTGTTATCCTTATAACCTTAGATTGTTATTTAGTTTTGTTTTTGCATAACTTAAAACATCTTCATCCCATTACATGTAAATTGGCTGTTCAGCCTATGTCTATAAGTTTGAAATCTACCTTCCCATTCAAGTGTATTTGAAAAAGTGTGGATGCACATGAAAGCTCATACTCTGAAGAAACCTTTGTTGGTCTTAAAGTTGCCACTGGACTCTAAACTGGAAATTGTTCATGATGTCTGAATATACCTATGACTATCTTATTTGCGTAGGAGCTGCGGTGGCTCAAGTGGTTAAGACGCTGAACTGCAGGCTGTGGAAGGTCGGTAGTTCAGCAGTTCAAGACCCGGATTGCCTCATGACGGCGTGAGCTCCCGTCTCTAGTTCCAGCTCCTGCCAACCTAGCAGTTTGAAAGCAAGAAATTGCAAGTAGATAAATAGGTACCACTTCGGTGGGAAGGTAACAGCGTTCCTTGCGCCTTGGTGTTTAGTCATGCCGGCCACACAACCACGGAAACGTCTTCGGACAGCGCTGGCTCTTTTGAAACGGAGATGAGCACCGTAACCCTAGAGTCGGACTCGACTGGCTTTCGAGCAAGGGAACCTTTACCTGTACCTATCTTATTTGCATGACCACCTAATAGCAGTTGATTTTTGTTAGGCAGATGTTTGCACTGATCCTTGTGCTTTTGATTTCTGCATGCTTTTTGTCTTCCTGGAATGATTGGGTTGGATCCAGTGGAAAAATTAACAATGAGATGGCAGAGCAGATATTTTCCTGCCCTCTTCAAGTAGCTTGTGGTTGCTTTGAAAATCCACTTGGAGGATCAGGGGGCCCTGCAAACAAAATCACAACGTAGTTGGTGGCTCAATATGGAAGAAATCAAGTAAAGTTGCTTCTTTCTTCCTCTGCAGATGGAAGCCACTAGCTGAAGAAGAACGTGATTTTCACCTAATTTGTCTCTTGTCACTAAAGTGCTCTATGCTATTGAGAAGGTCTGTTGATCCTCTTGGAGGATTTTCAGAGTGAACAGCAGGGTACTTATGGTAGGGGAAGTCTAGGAAAGATCCACTCCAACAAAACCATCTGCTAGATCCAACCCATTTATTATTGTTGCAGGTTTTTTCATGTTTTTATTTTAAGCTTCCTTTAAAAAGTCAATCTGTAACGTAAAGATGGGTGTTCTTTCTTT